CTGGTGTCACCGTTGGTCTCACTGTAATCCCACAATCGTTAGCATACGCTAATGTAGCAGGTTTACCACCTCAAGTTAGTATAATATTGAACAATGATTCATAAAGAAGCAATTTCAAAACAATTTTATTACAATATCTATTAACGAGATTTCTTGTTCACTAATGCAGATTAAACAAGATTATTAATAAACAAATTAATATTTTATAAACAATGTAATATTTTATAATGAATGATTATGAAAATCGGTCTAACAATTATACTATTATTATATTTCGCAGTATGGATTGTATGGTAGCTTTCTAGGATGTTTTATTTATGTTATATTCGGATCTTGTAAAGATACACCGATGGGACCAAGTGCCATCATCTCTCTGCTCACGTATCAAACAGTTGCACGCCTTGATGAACCATTGAAACATGCGATACTTCTCTGTTTCTTGTCTGGAGTAATAGAACTTATAATGGGTATATTTGGTCTTGGTAAATATCAATAATATTTCATGATAAAATTACAAAAAAGAATTTATTTTTAAATACAATTTATTAATGATATATTTTTTAGGATTTTTAATCGATTTTGTGTCCGGACCTGTAAGTTCTGGATTTACATCAGCAGTAGCTTTAATAATTATAACATCACAAATAAAAGATATACTCGGTATTCCTGCGAAAGGTTCGCAATTTCTTGAAATGTGGAAAAGTCTCGTTGGACTTTTACATGAAACTTCAGCTTGGGATGCCGCACTTGGTGTAACTTGTATAGCGCTTCTTTTATTTCTCAGGGTATATAAAACAAAAATTATTATATATATAATACTCTTAATAGAAGTTTTACATGTTTTTTTTTATAGCTTTTAGCATCGTATACAATTGGTCCTAAAGATGAAGAATTGCAAAGTACAAAATATCGAGTATTAAATAAATTTATATGGTTATTTGGTACTTCGCGAAATGCACTTTTAGTAATATTATCTGGTCTTTTAGGATATAGTTTTAGAAAAAAATCACTCTTCAAATTGGTTGGTAAGAGCAATAAATATTAAGATAAACATTTTCAAAATTTTAAATTTTGTTAATATATATAAATATAAATATATTATATATTAAATATAATTATTAATTATATTGAATTTATTAATATCTTCTTCTAGGATATATACCAGAAGGTATGCCAAATATACAACCACCATCATTTAGTTATATCAAATACGATAATACAACAGTCACATTTGTCGATATGATTTCAAATTTAGGTAGCGGTATTCTTGTTTTACCGCTTATCTCTTTAATGGAAGATATTGCTATTTGCAAAGCATTCTGTAAGCTAATATTTTTTTTATTTATTACAAATGTTTTTCATAAAATATTAATATTGTTTTGTGCAATATGGAAAAAAGGAAAGGTTTTTATATTTATTTCAGCAACTGGAAAATCAGTTGATGCAACACAAGAATTAATAGCAATTGGAATATCAAACATTGGTAATTCTTTTGTTCAGGCGTTTCCTGGTACAGGATCTCTTAGTAGAAGTGCGGTAAACAATGCTTCTGGAGTAAGAACACCAATGGGAGGCATTTATACTGGTAATAATTATTTCAATTAATCATCTAACTAAAATATTTTATAATTGTCAATTAATAATCCATATATTATTTTTATACGATTATATTTTATATAAATTTGATAATTATAATTTTTATTTTTAGGTACTTTAGTAATATTAGCTCTTCTCTTTCTCACTCCATATTTCAGTTATATTCCAAGGTGTACATTAGCAGCAATCATTATAGCTGCAGTAATATTTATGGTCGAAGTTAAAGTCGTAAAACCAATGTGGAGAACTAAAAGTAAATTTAGAATTTAAAATTTAAAAAATATATTTTTCAGTATTTTTGAAACATTAATATGTATTTTAATTATATAATATTATACTTTTATAGAATCAGATTTAATTCCTGGTTTAGGAACATTCATTGCATGTTTATTACTACAATTAGAAATTGGAATTTTATGTGGTATTGGAATAAATATTTTGTTCATTTTATATCATGCTGCAAGACCAAAAATATCCGTGGAAAAACTTACGGTATATATTTTTAATTTTTTCTGTATTTTACATAATATTTATTTTAAAAATTTAATTTTATATAAACATTTGTTTCAAATATATTTCTATATTATTTATAGTCTTTTAATTATTTATTAGTTAATTATTTATAATATTATAATAATATTAATGTATCAATTAAATATTATTGTTTCAGTCTCGACATGGTATTCGATATCTTATGTTAACTCCAGATCGATGTTTAATTTTTCCATCTGTTGATTATGTGCGAAATTTAGTAACAAAATATAGTCAAAGAACAGGGAATGTAGCGACACCAGTTGTAATCGATTGTTCTCATATTTATGGGGCAGATTTTACTGCAGCCACAGTAATTGAAACTTTAACAAAAGATTTTGCATCAAGGGGCCAACCACTATTTTTCTATAATTTAAAACCTTCGGTTTATGCTGTATTTGAAGGTGTTGCATCAACTGATTTTGTCGTTTATTATACTCAAGAAGCATTAGACGATCTCCTAAAAGAAAGAGGATACATAAAGCAAATTAAATAATATACATTATTTATATTTCAAATGAATTAATACAACTTGGATTATCATTATTTTTTATTGATGATATAATGGTAGTCCTTTTTGTTATATGTAAAGTTGTTAAACAACGGTTTTCTTAATTATATCATTATTTTTTAATTTGTTTATAGATTTTACGAAAGTAATGAAGTATAAGATAAATACTTTTTCAACTTATCATTCATGTTCAACAAAAACACATCAAATATCATTGCATTTTATATTTAAAAATGCATTATATGATTAATATAATATTTATATTAAATGTACTATAATATAGATATATTTTTAATCAATTATTTTTATGATGCGTTGAAAATAATGCGATTGAAAATAAATTATAATATTTTAATTATTTGTTATTAATGTTGTTATTACAACAAAGGTGCAGTATTAATGTAAACGCATTAATGTTACTGAATAAAAATTGTGAACGGATGTGATTGTAGTATTTTTATATTATTTATCTATATTCTAATTATATATATGTATATAAATATAGAATAATTTTCTCATTACTGTCAAAAAATAATATTATTTATCATACATTCAAATTTTTATTTTATACATATATACATATCATAATAAAAAGCAATAATTAGATTACATATATTATCAAATAATTTTGAATATATATTTTATATTTTATTTGTGATCACGTGTCAACATAAACAAAGAGAATAAATAATAAGACAAGGACAGAAAAGGATAAAAATATTGAAATCAGCGCCATCTTCAGAGTGCCGCAAATGAAACTCAGATAGAAAGAATAGAAAATAATAAGAGAAAGATGGAGATAGGTTCAGAATTAACTACTAATGCCATCTTTTGAATTTTAAAGACACTTCTTTAAAAATAGGATAAAGTAGAGTAAGAATTGAGTATCAACGCCATCTCTTGAATGTTTTTTGAAAAAAATATATTATTAACAGATGGCGCTGATATTCAATTCTTATTCTACTTTATCCTATTTTTAAAGAAATATCTTTGGTAATCAAGAGATGGCATTAGTTGTCAATTCTTATTCTATTTTATTTTTTTTGAAACTCAAGAGATAGCATTGGTAGTTAATTCTTAACCTATTTCCATCTTTCTCTTATTATTTTTTATTCTTTCTATCTAAGTTTCATTTGCGGCACTCTGAAGATGGCGCTGATTTCAATATTTTTATCTTTCTCTATCCTTGTCTTACTGTTTGTTTTCTTTGTTTATATTGATACATAATCATAAATAAAATATCAAACTTTCATTATTTCATTTTCAAAATTAAAATGTATAAATATTATAAATATATTATTTTTAAATTCTAATAATTTTATTTTAAATAATTTCTAATAAATTTATTTTAAATATAAAATAATTTAATGAAAATATAATCTAATATATTAATTTTCATTAATTTATATTTTATTTTTTATATTTATTGAGATTAATTTATGAATTAATGTTATATAATTATTTAATTTGAGATAAATATCAATTCTAAAATAAATTAAAAAAAATCAGAAGAATATTTATTCTATTTTTTAATTGTAATTTTTTATTGAAATTTAATTATTATTAATTGCAATCTTATTCTAACTTTAAAAATAACATTAAATTGATAAGGAAATTTTATCTTTTTTTTTAAATTCAAGTTTATTTTATATTGTTATATTTTTATCTATTTTAAAAAGAAATCCTATTATTTTTCAAATTCATAACAAGTTACTTGCAATGTGATGTATGTCTGCATATTGATTATTTTATAATATAATAGTTTTCATAATACACTTAATACTAACTCTTCAAAGTTAAATAATTTCATGCTTCAAATTTTGAAAAAAATCAATGAGTCAATATTCAATTACATTGTATGTATTATATACATAAGAAAAATTGTTTAATATATACAAAAATTTATTGTTTATTTTATATTATCATAAAAAAAACTAAATATTTAAAAAAAATATATATATTGCATTTATTGTATTATTTTTTTTTTTCAAATATTTCTTTTCATTCACGATGATTATATATAAAGATAAAAATAATATTTTTACGATAAGGATTAATCAAAGTTCAAAGAATGAGCAATAAATAAAAAAATAAGTTAAGTAATAGATTTAATGTATAATTTTTAATAATTTCAATACATTTATTACGAAATAATATTAAATATTATAGAAATAATATTAGAAAATAATAGAAATAAAAATATAAATAGTAAATAGTAACATAAATCATATAAATAAGAATCAAAGAGAAATATAATATATATACATATGTATGCAATGTGCTATGAAACAGAGTATATCTATTATCTTTTTAATTTTGAAGTAAACTACTTATATAACTACGTGATACTTCTATTTTTCTTCAGTTCTTCAAGGAAGTTAGAAGCATCAACTTATTAAATTATGGAAATACTAAATTCATTATTTATGCCAATTGTTACTTCGATTACCTTTCTTGTGATAATTTTGATTTTATATATAAAGTACAATCGCACTTATTGGCAAAGAAGAGGTGTTCCTATTGTACCTGGACATTGGTTATTCGGTAACATAAAAAAGATATTAGATTTAGAAAAACCTCCTGCCTACGTAATAGGTGATATATGCCAAAAAAGTTCCGAAAACGATGGCATTCTTGGAATTTACATATTTTTCAAACCATTCTTATTGATAAAAGATCCAGAAATAATGAAACAAATCTTAATTAAAGATTTCAATTATTTTCCGAATCGCAGTTTTACGATTCGATCATTTCAAGACGAAATTGGAAACACAAGTCTTTTTACATTGAAGAATCCTCAATGGAAATATTTAAGGTAAATACATTTAAAAATCATTATCGAAATGGTATTTATTAAGAAATATCAAATAATTGATTTTATTAATGGATGTTTTTATTAGGATTAAATTATCACCGTTATTTAGTAGTGCAAAAGTGAAAAAATTGTTTCATTTAATGGTTGAAGCTGCCAATTCGATGAATAAATATTTAGATAACGAATTTTCAAACGGCACGAAAACGAAAACTATTATGATAAAAGATGTTACTCTAAAATATACCACTGATGTCATATCTTCTATTGCTTTTGGAATTCAAGTAAATTCATTCAATCCTGAAACATTACAATTTTATGAAAATGGTATTTATTAAAAAATGTTCGAAAGATTATATTATTTTCATATATATTTATATATATATATATATATATATGTGATAATTTTACCTCATTATATTTTTTTGTTTTCTTAAAAGCTCAAAAAGGACTCAAAATGACATTTTTTCGTGGTATTCAGTTAACGATTTCGTTTTTTTTTCCAAAACTTTCGCCATATTTAAATGCTAGAATGTTAGGAACTTCGACAAATTTCTTTCGTAAAGTATTTTGGAATTCCATGGATAACAGAGAAATAACTAAAAATAAACGAGAAGATTTAATTGATTCTTTAATAGAATTGAAAAATGACAAACAAGATAAAGATTTCAGTCAGTATAATAAGTATTTGATATTAATGATTCAAATATTTGATATTATTTATTTTATTAAAAATTATAATTATTATATATAGAATTCGAAGGTGATGCATTGTTAAGTCAATCAGCAATTTTCTTCGTTGCTGGACGCGAATCAAGTGTATCAACTATATGCTTCACACTTTATGAACTAGCTAAACATCCAGAAATTCAAAAACGAACACGAGAAGAGATTAATAAGAAATTAAAGGAACATGGAATGACTTATGAAGGTATTCAAAGCATGAAATATCTTCATCAAGTTGTATCAGAAATTCTACGACTTTATCCTCCGGCTCCAATTATCGATCGAGTTGCCGAGGAGGATTACAAGGTGAGCCAAGAATTAAAATGTCAAGAATTGATATTATTTTATACATATATATTTTAAAAAATTAATTCTTAAAAATTTATTTGTCAAATTTATATGAAATATTTACATTTTTGTAACTTTCATTAGTAATTATTTAAAATTTTTATTATATATTATTTTTTTAATAAAACAAAGTAAGTACGTAATCGAAGCATTATATAATCAAGCAAATATAATAGATAAATTGATCTTTATCTATTTATAAATATATTTCATAATGAAAATTCATCGCATTAATAAATTTTTTTTGTCATATGTATATCTATACGAATACATTTTCTTTTTTCTCCAATTATTTTAAACTTATTTTTATGTTTAATTCGTTTTTTTTTTATAATTATTCTTTTTCTTACACAAATGAAAAATATAATAAATAATGCATGAATTTGAATAATAAAAGATTCATGAAAAAAAATATAAATATTTTTTTCACTGTTAAAAGGCTATTAAAAGTCTATTTATCCTATCTGAATATCTTTTAATATGTAAGATTTGCAATAACAAAATACATATCTGCAATTTTCATTCGTTATATAATATTCATTTAACAAATTAGGAATTTTTTTATTTCTTTTTATCGAATTAATAAAATTAATAAAATTTTATATCAAATAATATTTTTGACTGACTTACAAAAATTAATTTTTTTTTTAATATTTGATTTAAAATAACAATAAAACAATTATTTTTCATAGAATAACAATTATTTTATATTTTTTAGATACCAGGAACTGATATAGTCATAGAAAAAGGAACATCAGTTTTCATAGTTCTAACTGCACTTCACTATGATCCAAAATATCATCCAGATCCTCTCCGTTTTAATCCTGATAGATTTAGTGATGAAAATAAAGAAAATATCAAGCAATGTACATATATGCCATTTGGAGAGGGACCAAGAATTTGCATTGGTAAATTGATACTTATAAAATTATTACAATATTATTAATTAATATATATATTTATAAATTAATATTTATTATTATTATATTTATTATAATATTTACTAATATTTATTATAATAAAATATTTCTTATAGGAGCTCGAATTGGGCAACTGCAATCTCTTATTGCTTTGATTACTATAATTAAAAGTTATGAAATTTCATTAAATTCTAAATGCAAAGGTGATCTTGATATTCGTAATATTTTTGTA